TATCATTAAAATACAAGTTAAAAAAACCCTTTATATGTTTTTATTATATTGAAATATAAAAAATCTTACTACTACAGCTACAATGCACACTCCCAAAGATTTATAATTTTAAGTGAGAAAATGATTGTGAGATAATTTGTTTACATAATTTTTTATATAATTTTATATATCATTTAATAATTAATTTTTTTATTCTACTAAAATTTAAAGTTATATAGTTTTGAAATAATTTTTATTAAAGTTATATAGTTTTGAAATAATTTTTTTCCTAATTTTTATGATATAAAGTGGATAAACATTAACCTTTTAAAATATTATATATATTTAGTTAATAATATAAAAAAAATTAAAAAAATTTATAAGCCCATATTAATCCTAACATGTTAGGTAAAATATATAGGGAAAAACCTACTTTTAACCCCTCACATTGTTAAGTTTGAAGGATTTAGCCCTTCACCTTATATTATGATAATTTTTAGCCCCTCACCTTATATTATAGCACTTTTAGTCCCTCACCTATTAAAATTGAAGAAAATAGCCCTCACTTTGTAACATTTTGTTAGTTTTGTTAGCTGACTGTTAATTCTATTAACTGACTATTAGTTGATTGTTAACTGTTAAAAACCTTATTTCAACCAACAGAACTAACTTTATAATATTTTGTTAATTCTGTTAATTAACTATTAGTTGACTATTAATTGATAAAAATCTACTTTCAACTAACAGAATTAACAATCAGTATATAGTGAGGGCTATTTTTTTCGATTTTAATAGGTGAGGAGCTAACACCTTCAAACTTGATAAGGTGAGAGGCTAAAACTAGGTTTTTGCCAAATATATACATCAGATGGACAAATGGGAAAAAGGCTAAAATCCTAGTAGGTGGATGGTCACGAGGTTCGACGTAGACTGATAGACACATCGCCAACTACACTATCAGTTGTTAGAATAATAGTTCAGTTATGAATGTTAGTCATAGTGACAATATTTTTATAAAGTCATTGACTTTACCAAATGTTCTATAAATTTCAAAACTTAGTTATAATCTTCAATCATTATGACTTTTGATCATTTTCAAGCAGTCATTTTCTTTTTGTTACTCCTTTTGATCTTGTGCATTCTGACACTTGAGGTCTATTTCTTACGTCCATCATGGGGGTTTTGAGTATTTTATGTTTTTTATTGATGATGATACTTGTTTTACCTAGATATATTTTATGAATAATGGCTCTAATGAAATTGAGCACAATTTTGCAAAGAAATAGCTCGCTTCCTTCTCGAGAAGGGATGGGAAACATGCTCAATATCATTTGATTGAGTAGTTGACCCAGCTCCTTGTTGTTTTAAAAAACCCTCCACTTCAATTGGTATTTTTTCACAAAAAGAAAGTTTGAGATAACAAATCTAGTCTTTCACTAAGATTTCAAATAACTGTCTCAAATTCAAGTTGATTTTGTTTTGCCTCTATTTTTGTCAGAGAGTAATATGAATATTACATCATGTTCTATCAACACACTAAATGGATTATACCATATCTCTGGTGTGGAAGTCAGCCAACATTTACATCGGCAAATCGAAGCTTTCCAAGTCCATGCCCAAGTCCTTATTACTTCTTGGGTTGTAATTGCTATCTTATTAGGTTCCGCCATTATCGCAGTTCGGAATCCACAAACCATTCCAACCGACGGTCAAAATTTCTTCGAATATGTTCTTGAATTCATTCGAGACATAAACAAAACTCATATTGGAGAAGAATATGGTCTGTGCATGAAAATAGAATTTTTTTAGTCTTTTTATCAATTAATCTATTATGTCTGTATATACACATTTTTTATCCCTAAACTTTTAAATTAATGGACAAAAGTTGTGAAAAATCTTAAAATTGGAGGACTAAAAATATGTATATATAAATAAATTTAACAAATTACTGATGAAATGACTAAAAATATACATATTTCATAGTTAAGGAAATAAAAAAAATAAGAAACCAAAATTGTGCAAAATCTTAAAGGTAGGAGACTAAGTTTGCATTTAACCTAACGGAATTTATTTTTCAGTTATGAGACCTTTTTCAGGAGAATGCAAAAGAGTAGTTTGCGGTTTCCTTAGCGCACATGGTTATGTAGAAAATGATTA